TCACCCACACCCCAAACCCCACACCCACACCCACACCAACACCCACACCCACCCCACACCCACACCCACACCCACACCCACACCCACACCCACACCCACATTCAGCCACCCACACCCACACCCACACCCACCCACACCCTTATCATCCACACCCACAGCCATCCACACCCACATCCTCTATAATGGGGATAGGGTGGGGGCGCGCGTAAAACTTCGTCGGAAAACTTAGAGTAACTGTTTTCTTCGAAAACATATGTGAGTTCCACAAAATTTGATTGCATGAGAGTGTATCTAAAATCTATAGGCTGCAATTCAAGAGATCTCATTATTCTCATAATTGTTAGCGCTGTCGGCTTTTAAATACCTCCTTCAATATGTCTGTCTCACAGATAATGTGCTTTCGTAAATGATTGTTATTTTGAGCTTTAATTTTTTGTCTGAGCAGCGATCAGTACTGGTGTAACCAGAAACTGAGTTAGTGGCTTACCGCCATCCTCGATAATGACGTGTATTGAGCTTCTCTACATCTCCAGAATGTAACTACTACACATACAATACACGCTTATATAGGAGAGAGTAAGAGAGTGAGATGGGCACAGGAAAGAACAAGACAGAGATGAACACACGAGAGAACAATAGAGACAAGATAAAGAGGAATGAGGGAAGAAAGGCCAGCGGTAGCTGATATCAATATCGGCACAACTGGCATGGACAGTGTTAATAAGTCCCGCTTTGATTATACAGAAGAAAGCTCCATAAGAAAATAGCTAAATCAAAGGATAGCACGAAGTATATAAGTAGTACGATAATAAAGAGTAGCAAGAAGAGGATAAATAACAGCAGCATAAAAAAGAAAAATGGAGGCAACAATAGCAACACCAGCAAAACCAAAATAAAGATAAACAACGAGAGGCCATAGGATACGATAGAAATAAAAATAGAGCACAAGAGCAACGACAGCAAAGGCAGCCACAATCACAATGACAGCACGTTGCAGCTTTTGAGGTGACCATAATGATTTTTCTGGTTCTCGAAATATTGGTAAACCTAAATGAAAATATTTCGTCATCTATCGTCTATGAAGAAATAAGGTATTTCAACAATTCAACACTTTATAAGACCTCAAGTGACTTCAATATATAATTAATATAATGACTCAAAAGTCTCGAAAGACTTCATAAGACTTCATGAAACTTCAAAGTTGAAGTTCTCTGTGTTCCCAATTCATCTATTGTATATCAGGAAGCGAAATATGCGCTGTACCGCCTATTAATGGATGACGTACACTCAACTGAGTGTATTCACAGGTTTTCACGAGTCGAGCCGGTGATCAAATTCAAACTTAGTGAGACATTCAAGGTTTCTATAGGTTGTTGCGCTGACCATCTAGGTTATAAAACTTTTAGAGTTCGATTCAATTTTCATAGAGATTCTAGTCAAACTATATCAAGGAGTATCATCTTCTTTATATTTTCATGCATTAAAAAGACCTTGTCGTTTTCTCAAAAAGAGATGATAGCGCCATATTATTCAGCCCATTTAGAAATCTACTTATACGTTCGGATTGCTCATGAACAATTTAACAAGAATTTGTATGAAATTTAAAAACTCCTATACCAGTATAATGCCTAGAGTATAGAGGTGTAAATGTGAGGTGTGGACGTGGAGTGTGTGCGTGGGGTGTGGACATAGAGTGTGGGCGTGGGGTGTGGATGTGAGATGTGGGTGTGGGTGTGGGTGTGGGTGTGGGTGTAGATGTGGGTGTAGTTCTGGGTGTAGGTGTGAGTGTATAGATACATTTTGAACAAGCTTCATAGTGTCTTTTGAAACGATTCATATTGGTCAGCGTTATAAGTTTATACAAGCTAAAACGTATTCGATTTTCTCTTAATGACAACCATTACAGTGACTATGTTGAATTACGAGAAAAACAAAGCCAAAACAGAAAGAATGAAATAGAATGAATAATGACTCACATTTTACCCACTGATTTTTCAAACCATTAAAAAAAAAGTGTCATTCAGTGATCGAAAACTACCAAGATAAAATAAACTTTTTATACCAAAAAGTGGTCAAACTATAAAATGGGTGAGCCTGTGGGTATGAGTGGCAGAGGAGAATATGTAAAATCACACGCATATCCATGCCCTTGATTAATATCAGCTTGATCATCCTATCTAAGTAACTTTGCATTGAATGTGCATAGGTTATCATCTTGGGCCGATATCTCAAAGCTAATTCCTTAAAAAACTAAAGACAGCCTCGAAATGATCTGACAGTATGGGCACCCTCATTGTTGACGCGAAACTGTTATACCCGACTCATTCCTTACACGAGCTTTCTTTTGGAAAACGAAGAAAACATCATTATAGCAGTATTCATCAACTAAATGGACACATCAATAGTGCTTTCTGGCCCCAGGCATCAGTAGTGTAGAAGTCGTAAGTCGTTACGACTTTTCAACTATGCTTTAGCTATTCAACTATTCGAATATTCACCTATGGAAACCTATAATTCGAATATTCGAGTTTCAAACTAGTCCATCCGTGGCACCCACGTCAGCTACTATGGATAATTTGCGTGTGCTCGTCTTCTGTGCCATTCACACCTACTCCACTCAAAAAAGGCGAACTCCAAATTCGTGAATTTCCAGTCTATGTTATACCGCCGGCTATTCACCTAGACAACTATATTCAGTTCACCACACCAAGGATCCACAGGAGACTCAGAAGATCTCCTGAGAATCTCATGATATTTCCTGAGCATTTCTGGAGATCTCTCAGGATTTCCTGAAATTTCCTGAAAATTTCCTGAGGACTTCTGGAGATTCCCTGAGGATTTCTGGAGATTTCTTGAGGATTTCTGAAGATTTCTTGGGGATTTTCGAAGATGTTTTGGGGTTCCCTAGTGATGCCTGAAGATTTCTTGAGGATCCTTGGTGACCTACTGGTGATTTCTCAGGATCCCTGAGGATTCTTGGAGACCTTTCAGGACACATGGAGATTCGGTTGAGTTTAGTAGTTGAAAGCTTGAATATTCAAACTATAGTTTTCAACAGTTGAATAGTTTAATAATTGAATATTCAAATATTTGATTAATTGAAACAACTCTTCAAGCTTACATGGATAAATAGATTTCAATGGGCTCTAGCTCCAGCGAAAATTTCAGACTTTTATCTTGTTTTAGTTATGAGATGTGTAGCTCTAAAGTTGCCTAAATTCGGAATGTTTGACCATCTTGGACGATTCATAAAAAACTAAGGATCTTATATCTTTTAATGAAACTTTTTTCCAATAGAATTCATTGATATATATGCCCAAAAAGTATTTCAGCTGAATTGATCGAGCACTTATCGAGATATGACTTCAGCAAAATACCTCTTGACGAAATCTCCGATCCCTCAACTATATTTTAGGGCTTCTAGAAGAAAGTTCGTGAAAAATCTAGTGTCCAATATTTACCTATGAGACGTGCCGCAAAAGTTATCAAACTCTTGTCCCTATCACATATACGGAATTAAGCATGTGCCCTATGAAGCGATCGTGGCTTATGTTGACTGGCTACCAAAGAGCCAAATCTATTCTAGACTACGAAAAATTCCTAGGAAGCTTTGTAAAGCGTCGTTATTTTTGAAAAACAGCTTGTCGTTAATAAAGTCACGATTTTCCCGTTGCCCGTTATCGTCACTCGGTAACATAACGGTGACTTCCTCCTCTACTACTGAATGTAACCGATTAAAATGTTTTCATAAGGTTTGTACCATATTGTGACGAGGCCGACCGCTCATTTATTGAAGCCGACATTTGTAGAGGCCGCCGTTTTGCAATTGATTTGAATATTTCAGCTTCGGTATAGGCCGATTCCACTGACGCTCTGAAAAAATGCAGGTATTCCGGAATCATTCGAGTATTTGACTATCGAATAGAAGGCAGAACTCTTAAAATAATTCTGTAAAAGAAAAGTTCTTTGTAAAAATACAGAAGTAGTTTGATTTCTCCTGATATATAGCTCCCCACAAAAAATTTAACTCTACAAAAGACTGCACAGCAAAAACCAATTTTTTGCTTTCTCATTCGCTCTTTGTTTAAGATGCGCTCAGTTCAACATATTCTCAAAGTATTTTTTAAGCTTTTTCCCAAATTACTGAAACGAGCACGTCGACTCGTCTAGAAAAGCTAGTTCGTGAATTTTTAGCGAAAATCGAAGGAAAATTTGATAAAACATGGAACATCAATATCAATAAAAAAAGTGGCTAATATTCGTACATACCTGAATATCTCTTGTGTAAGGTGCCGCTAATGCAAAGTTTCAGTGGATTCAAATTTTTGATAAAATTTACATATTCTGATTCGTCTTCTCACGCTGACCACGAATATCACCCTATTTTTTCGATTAACTGGAGTCTTCATAGAGGAAAATCCAAAACACTGAGACGCACTTAAAAATCGAAAAAATGTCGGGCTGCAAAAAAATGATCGTACTGCTGATCCATTTCATTTTTCGCGCTCGCCGATGTGATATTCGGATTCCTTGCATGAAAATAGTTATAGCCATGTGGTATAGAATTCCTGTATTTTACATAAGAATTCTTGTATTCGACATAGGAACTCTATACCACATGGCTATAACTATTTTCATGCAAGGAATCCGAATATCACATCGGCGAGCGCGAAAAATGAAATGGATCAGCAGTACGATCATTTTTTTGCAGCCCGACATTTTTTCGATTTTTAAGTGCGTCTCAGTGTTTTGGATTTTCCTCTATGAAGACTCCAGTTAATCGAAAAAATAGGGTGATATTCGTGGTCAGCGTGAGAAGACGAATCAGAATATGTAAATTTTATCAAAAATTTGAATCCACTGAAACTTTGCATTAGCAACACCTTAACTCGCCTATATTTTCGAAGAAAATAATATTGAGTGTAAGTTTAAATCGAGGGTGTGGGTGTGGGTGTGGGTGTCGGTGTGGATAGGGATGTTGCAGTATCAGTGTAAATATTGAAATACTGACGTCAGAGTCATCGATGCAATGTCCACTGGAACACTGGCAACACTGCTATCAGTGTCACGGACACTGCTATTACATTGACACTGACGTTCACTGATAACATTGATGAATTCACATCAGCGTACACTGACACACTGAGGGTCACTGAAACACAGGCCACACTAATATCGGTGTTTAGGGGAACACTGACACACTAACTACTTTTGATTGACTAAAATTTGTATACAGAGTACTTTAGCATTACTGTAAAAAAAGGCGCAGAATAATAAACCCTACAAAAGGGTTTATAGCCGCCTAAATTCTTCGTCAAATTCTCATAAACTCTAGGGTTTATGAAAGTGAGTTGTACTCAAAAAGAGTTTATGAGAATTTGGCACAGAGTTTAGGTGGCTCTAAATCCTTTTGTAGGGTTTATTATTCTGCGCCTGTTTTTACAGTAATGCTAAAGTACTCTGTATACAAATTTTAGTCAATCAAAAGTAGTTAGTGTGTCAGTATTCCACTAAACACCGATATTAGTGTGGCCTGTGTTTCAGTGACCCTCAGTGTGTTAGTGTACGCTGATGTGAATTCATCAATGTTATCAGTGAACGTCAGTGTCAATGTAATAGCAGTGTCGGTGACACTGATAACAGTGTTGCCAGTGTTTCAGTGGACACTGTGTCGGTGCTGTTGGTGATCAGTAAACTGAAACTGCACATACCTAGGTGTGGATGAGTGTGGGGCAAGGAATAAACGACGGATTCCGAATCCCCAGGATTTTTAGATTACCGTCGGATTACTGTAGGAATCCCGGAAATCTTATGAATCCCAGAATTTTTATGCTAACAAATTGCATTCTCAAAATTCATATTTAGCCTCTATGATCATTACTATAGTCCTGAAAACTTCATAAAACTAAGTGCCAAGACTTCACTGCTTTATCACATGGCTAGACAAGTTGCATTAAACTATTGAAGAACATTATTTCCTAGGCGACCTGTTTTTATATGCTTGACCTGTGCAGACATCAAGATTTATTCATAGCGCATCACTCTCTTGTTCAAGAATCTCAAGAAAGATACGTGCATGAGAGAAAGAATTTCATTAATATGGTGATTAAAAGCACTAGATGTAATTTCAAAAATCGAACTTATTGCTCGGAAAATCAATCGAAAAACAGAATGATCTATCCATCCTGAAGAAAAGATACATACAATCTGCTTACACCTCACATTTGCTTTTCAGCAATCGATTATTTTGTCGGGATTGAGATGAATTTTAAAATAATAAATTATTGTGACTTGTGTCAAAAAAATAATTTTAAGAAATGCAGATTTTTATTTGCCGAGGCGGTTCGTGTTCTTTATTAGAAAATTAAAACACTCATCAGGGCTTTGAACTAGATATTCAGGCACAGGTTAAAAACAAAAACTTGTCAGTGCAACCCCAAGAGAGGCCGAAATGTGGAACTGACAAACTCGGAGCGTTATAAATTTAATATATATTGTCAGAAGTTTTAAAATAAGTTGTTAAAGAAAAAGAAACTAAATAGATGAATAAATCAGAATTATAACAATTTTTATAGTTGATACGCGCGCTCTAAAAGTTTATTTTGTTGAAACTCTTCGTATTTATTACTTTTCTATCAGATTATTTGGTTCATTTAACATCGTAGTCTTGAAAAAATTATTTATACTGTCATATACACCTGTGGTGCATAACTTCTATTCTCTTAATGATAATATGTGCACGATGCATGTCATAGGAAGCAGCAGATATAATTTTATTGGCCGTTTCATCGATTCAACTACTATATTAGCCTGCTATGCATATTTATTTTATTGCTCAGTAAGCTACCACGCATGTCATTCTTTCTCTCGACCAATTTTTGTGTATACTGCTGAGTTTTAGCTAAAATTAGAAGTCAATTACTTCATATTTTTAAAGTTTCGTCTTATTGTTATTCTTCTAGATGGAAAATACTACTGGTTTAATCATTGACACCTAAAATGAAATCTATTCCCTTTATCAAAAAGCTGTTAATGCAATCTCTGTGGGATTAAAACATGAAACGCGATCTGATCACTGTCACTGACCGGCTGCCTCTCTTTTGCGAACATAAAAAAAAATAAATTTTAAGTGAATTAAAATTTTTAAAATTTTGTTTGATTTAAATCTGAGTTTTATTGATTTTTTGTAAAATGATTACAATTTATATTCTACTTTTAAAAATTTGGTTACTGCGAACGAATATTGAAAGTGAATTGTTTCAAAAGATTTTTATAAAAATTTATTTTTTTTACTAAGCATGCTGCAATATGTAGAGGTCGTTAGTAGTTTGACAATAAAAACTTTTTAAGATTCAGATAGTGACTGCAATTTGTAGAGGACGCAAGTTTCTGATAGCAGAGAGTTTTTGATATTTACTGCAATTTGTAGACGATGTAAGTTTTTGATCGGAGAAGGTTTTTAAATTTAGTACTATTGCTGCAATTTGTAGAGGACATTAGATTTTAGTTGAACTAAAATTTTCCTGTGAATCTAGATCTGAAGAATTTCAATAGAAGTCAAAAATAGAATGTACTAGCTGATTTTTTTTTCTTTTGTTATTGATAAACTAATACTCATAGTGCACGAACAAGGGTCATCGATTTAAGCTACACTAAGAACGACTTTAGTTAAAGACAAAGCGAGTTTTTAAGGAGATTGTATCATAACTTGTTGTGATAATCTGATATGTGTTCCAACTGTGGTGTGGGCGAATCGAACTGTATTCATCAAGAGAAGACGCTCATTAACATCTATATTTCTGAGCCGTTTTGTTTAGAACATCATTTCTTGAATTTATGATTTTTGTGTATAAATACTTTCGCATCCCAATCCATTATATCCATTCAATGTTCGATTGCATTTTACTATCATAATTATGTGATCTGTTCAAAATCAAAAACAGCTGATAACCCTCATAGTAACAATGATGTCTGACGAACTATATAAATTACAGTTAATTAAGAATAAGAAAAGCACTATTATATTTTAGCGCACTCTACAAATTACAGTTCATTAAGTTGAAATACTGAAATCCAACATCTAGCGAACTCTATAAATTCTAGTAATTACAAAGAAAAGAAGCACTATTGTAGTTTAGCGCACTCTACAAATTGCAGATCGTTAAACTGAAATAATGAAACTCAATCTTTAGCGAACTCTATAAATTTCAACAACTTTAAAAATATAACTGAAATTTTAATTTGTTTTAAAATTCACATCAGTAAATATTTTTTGAAATTTACAACCGAAAATTTTAGACTTAAAATTATTTTAAAGGACGGGGGCGTATAAGGGTCATTTTTGGGCCATCGTCAGTTTAAGTTGGTTCATAGTTCATTCGATGCAGAATTTTGCGAGGAATCTTTTGATGCCAAAATAAAGCTATTTGGAGTGAGTTTTAAGGGAGTTTTGCTCAAAATACTGACATGTCCTGTTATACTGTAAATGTATACTTTATATAGAAAAGAATCATATATGTATTTTTTTCTGAAGAAAACATTTCTTATGCAAAATTATGTCAAATGAATGCTCATTTCATACTCTATCTATGGTAAAAATTTCAACTCGAACAGTTGTAGTACTGATGAGTTATGATGAGAAAACTGATAAGTGTCAGTATGAGAATTATATAATTATCATATTATGTCTTGCACTTCTTTTCAGTATTTTTTCAATATCTCAAGAAAGGAAAAAATCAAAATGGGATTTTGATTGATTATGAAAGCTTGAAAGAAGAGCTACAAAATCAAGTATTTTCTAATTCATTTAGAGGTGGCCTTCAGGGAAATAATTGAGTCAACTTTTGTTCAACTGTTAATGAAAATATTATATCATTATATGCAGCTCATTCTTAAGAATAATCATTTTTTTTTTTTAAATGAAGACTTTTTTCGCAGGTAAAATTACATGAAGGATCTTTTTATGATAAAATACGTTTAATTAAGATCTATCATGTACTCATTTCTAGTCAGAATGTTGATATATAGCTGTTAACAACTAATGAAAAAATCGATAACTTATAGTTTATATTTACGGAAGAGATATTGTGAAAAAAGTATTTTTATATAATAATAACTATTATTTTATTGATAATAAAAAGATAAATTTCAACGATTTGAACAGTACATTATATTTTCAAAAGCATATTTTAGATAATATTGTTAAGATAGTTGGCAAATCAAATATACAACAGTATCATCTGTTTACTGTAATGAGAAAATTGATATTTTTTATCTAATATTAAAATCTTTAAAAAATGTTACAAGATGTTCTTTTCTTAAATAATTTCTAAGATAATTTCATTAAAATAACATATTCAACCCTTATGTAAATAGAAAAATAGGCTAATGTGATAGTTATCATATTGATATCCTGACAGAACATTGTATAGGTTAAGACATTAATATTTCTGAACAAGATAGATAGAAAGAACAAATAAAACAATGAAATACGTGGAAATATTATGACAACTTTCTGATTTATATTCATTAGTAGTCTTTTATGAAGATTGAGGCATTAGCATAATTAATATAGATTAGTAAGTAGGTGAGAAAGTACGAATGTTGTTGGTAAATGATTTTTTTATTTCTAATGTATAAAAAAAAATCAATCTTCTTCTATTTCTGAGTCCGAGGTTTCGTTGCTACTAGTGTCAGTTGAATCATTAGCTAAACTGTATTTAATATTATTATCATTGTCCGAATACTCGTCATTGTCGGAGAATATTATACTATCTTTAACATGATCCATTAAATTATGTGCTGAAAGAGGATTGAGTGTATAATTGATAATACCTCGGTTAACTCCGAGATGCCAAAGTAATGCACATACGTGTGAGCAGCAGCCCACAACACGTAAGCCAATTGTACACGAGCAACACCAACCTTGAATTGGATTAATTGTGTCATTGTTATCAAATTGAATAGTTGCGATGTATGATTTACTATTACTATGCCCAGATTGAAATCTTGCTCGAACGAGATCATTGACACCTTCAGGTGTCTCAACATCGAATGTTACTTCGTTTTCATTATAGTAGGCTGTTTTTAAATGCTCTTGTATATATGATTTGGCTCGATGAATTTGGTAAGACCCTGAGACAACAGAATTATTAAAATAAAAGAAAAAGAAATCTATAGTACCAAATGTGATATTTTCAATATCATTTTGTGTGAGAGATGGAAATAAACAGAAAATTCCATCATGCTTGACCCATTTAAGAACTTTCTGCTGTTCGAGCTGAATTAAACGTTTTTCTAAAATATTGTCTTTTGTTAACTGATCAAGCATTTTAATAGCTATGTCCTCATCATCATGTACATTTAATGTCGCCGTAGAACCATATGCATTTATAATAGCACAAACAATGGCAAGATCATCTCCTATATGACAAATGGATGAATTTTGTATAACATGGTTAAAATATTTCCATTGTTTGATCTTGCCATTTACTGAATAGACAAAGAGAGCTGATATAACAAATGTTTACAAAAGAGCATACTGCTTTCGACTACCCAACGTGTTTTGGTAATACAACGAGTTTTATTTGCCTCCTCTGTAGATAGTTGTTTTTTTCCATTTAAAAAATGAGGCATTGCAGTTGTAAATCCTAATGTTTTCATTGATTCGATGGAGTCCCGAAACTATAAAGATCAATAAATTATATTAAATTAGCAATAAAGACATTAGAATTCATGTTCGCAAAAAAAACAGTAACATAGCTTCTTAAAGGTCATTGAGTATGTTTAAAATATTATTAGAATGCATTAGAGTACTGATAATACAATTGAAGTTTTTATCCTGATATCAGTACACAAATTACTTATTAGTCGGGAAACAAGCTGTACAACTTAATCTATTTTCAATATAATAGAATAAGAAGAATCATTGATTCACAACAACTGCTTATCAATTAACATTGGTTAATGCAGTGTACCATAGACAAAAGATCATATGAAAGACAATTTTGAATTATCTTATTTTTTATATTGAAAACTCATGAAGCAAAATTTTCTCACTTAAGCGTCACAATTTATATATAATTCGAATAAGATGAATTTATAGAACCATAGTGGATCTCTATCAACACATGAATAGCATCAGAGGAAGTCATCAATTAGTTGCTTGCATAAAATAATTAGTTTATATTAGGTTAGGACTTTCTTTCTCTTAATTATGTGAAACAAACCCCTCTATCGACAATTATGACATCATTATCTTTAAACCATGGCAACATATCTTGTTCATTGTTGAATAAACAACTTTTAATGATTGAGGCGTCATTGTTCTTGTAGTCGGATAGAAACGGCCCATTAACCGATAATATGTAACCATCCTACAAACAACTTAGAGTGATACAAAATAGAAAGACAGATCCTCACTGTTGCAGTAATTATCATCGGTTTAAGCAAATTCCGATGTTTGTGCATGTTAAATGTGCGTCGTTGAAATGTATTATTTGACGATTTCTGAATATACAAGTATGTACCATCTACTACGACACACACTTGATCTGAATCGGACGTGAGTAATTTATTTGCTATAGCTGTTTGATGATGATTGAGAACCTGTTTGCGAGTGATATGTTTAAATCCAAGATAATTCGATACAAAATTATTTGTCAAATGCTGTCTAACTTGTTGAATGATATGTGATACTATTCTTTTGTTTCCTAAACGAAACATAGTAGCAAGTACTGAGTTGGAAACGCCTTGCCGTAGTTTAGTAAGATACACAGCTAAACCAACCCGAATTGAACGTATATTAGAATTTCGCATAGTAGACAGATATTGAAGTAAATGATTGAAATTATCTGACATGCATAAAAAAGAAAACAATATTAAAATAATTTAAAATCAATTCTAATTTTCTTCTTAGTCTCTTAGAATTCTTTAGTATGAATTTTAATTAGAAATATCATTTTATTTTTATTTTATTTTCATCTATTTTTATATGGTTACAACAAAATATAAGCAACGAAATACTCTTCGCTAAGTTTCAATGGGATGTAACTAAAGAACAGAACACTGTCATTACCTATATTAAGACCAGTAATGGTCAAATAATCTGTATCATTCATACTGGATGGATCATCAAAATCAAAGTACTTCAATGATTTAGAAACTTGACGAAAATTATTTAAACATTGATTCACTTCTTGTCCTCTCCACATTTCAATGCTTGATTGTGTAGCTTTAATTTCCTTTAGTGCTTCATATGTAAGCTGCTTGTTATATAAATGTTTTTTACAACAACGAGCATTTTGTGGTACAAAAATTCCTTGTTTGAGAAAAACAAGATGTCGTTGTTCTTTTGTTAATCGTCGTCGATTTTTACCTTTATCAGCACCACAAACAACACAACTCCTTATTTAAAAAAAGTCAATATTTTACAATTAAATATCTATTTCCTACTTCTGACATTTTGTTGTTCTATTAATCAATACTTCGACCTTTTCAAGTTCAGCTGTAGTTTGTACCTCTCGATCAACTTTCACCATTCCAATATTAGTTTGTTCATCAACTTCCATCTCCTAAATGATATGTCATTCTATAATGGTATATATATTAAAACAATTAACAAACATTATCATCATTTCCAATATTATTTTGAATGTTTTCTTCTTGATTTATGAAATTATTAAAATCACCATTTGTTTCTTTTTTCCAATTCAAGTATTTTAATTGACATGTTTGACAAATTGAACTATTTGGATCAACACGACAAATTAAACGAGCAGACCAAAAAATTCTTCCCAAACCCTCACCAACCTTAAACTTTTGACCATGTCGAATTCGAGTATTACAACCAATACACGTTGGATTAACCATATCGTTTTAATAATAATTCAGAGAAAGAATGATCGTATTCTTAAATGTTTCTAACCTTTTTTTTTACAAGCAAAACGGATATTTTTTCACGATTTAACGAAAGAAAAGAAACGGAACCGTTATAGATTGCTTTCTTCCTTCAAATAGGAAGTTGTCATAATATTTCCACGTGTTTCATTGTTTTATTTGTTCTTT